GCTCTCATCGTCATTTGGTCATCATTGTCCTGTCTGTTTTCGAATTTTTAATGAAACCGTTTTCATTTTAAATTGTTATATTATGCAAGGGAAAACTTTTTACAATTGTATAATCTTTAATGAAATTCACCGCTCTTAATGTTTCTTTGTTGTTTGAGTAGAATCTGGAAAAGTCGAGGCTTTGAGTGAGTCATCGATTTCGTAATCCTTTGTTGGCTATATAACGATGCGAAATTTCAGTATTTGAGCAGACTTTGAGAAACTTTCAATACAATTATCGTTATTTTGAAAGAATTCAATATTTTGCAGGATTTGACAAGAAAATTCTTTATTTTTTTTTTATTTCCCACCCAATTCTTGGTTTCTTTTAGAAATTTGCGAGTTTTTATTTAAATCTTTCCAATCTTTGTTTAATTTTAAGTCTTGTATATTTTTTGCAACAACTGTTGGCCAGTTTTATACAATTCGCTCAATTTTAGAAATGGAACGAATCGGTGACACTTATCGAAGCAAAGTCGACGAACCATCCGAGTATCACCACAGCTTTTTCAGCAATGGGAAGTTATGGCTATTTGGGACAACTTGTAAGTTTTAAAAGCTTTCATTTTGTTGAAAATGAGTTTATTTATTATCTAAAACGTGTCTTTTTAGATGTTCCACAACCCACTTACAACTGGGGAAATCGAGTGACTTTTGGAGGCGGTTATGCGATCGATTTTGACCCGAACACACGAGAATGGGGACAAGCGGTGACGGTGAGTTTGATTTTGATTTGCTAAGTTTTATGACAATGCTGTCCATCAATTTTTGCGTAAAATTGTGTAATCTAAACTAGACATGGACACGATCCATTTATAATGCTTACAATCATAGAAAAAAGTCTTGGAAATTTGAAAATAAGCAATTTTTTAGTGTTATTTGTTTGCTTGAGCTTCGGAAACTTTGGAAGAAACTTCCAATAACAGATTTATTCTAAATATGCTCTTGCATCACTAGAAAAAGACCGTTTTCAAAAATCTTGAGTGGGAAGCTCAAAAAGTGAAAAAATCTAATGGACAAAAGTCTTGGAAATTTAACAGCGTGACACGGACATTTTGAATAACTGCTTGCCTAGAAATGCTGTGGCAATGGTGACATAGACTATACATTTTTAGCTTTCTAATAAGCTATCACATAGCTTATTTGGTTGTGATTAAAAAAGTTAAATATAGATAACATTATTTGTCATCAATTTACACAGCGAAAAGCCATTTTTTGATGTTACCCATATTTAACTTTTTTAATCGCAACCAAATAAGCTTTGTGATAGCTTATTAGAAAGCCAAAAATGTCTAGTTTATAATATTTTCAGTTTGATGCCTTGACTTCCGATGAGAATTGCGGTGAAGCCTTTTTCCAAGCCGATGGTGCGATTTTTCTCTTTCTCTACACGGCTTTTGGCGGTTTTATTCCAAAAGCTCTCTATCGATGGAATGAAAATGAGAGGAAATGGGCAAGCATCCAATTGCAGGTGAGTAAATAATATATACTTTATTTCAATAATAAGGCGTAAAGCGTAACAAAAAGATCCAAAAAAACACAAAAATTTAAATGGCACAGTATGCAATTAGTCGGAAGAAAGGAAAAAAACATAATACCATTTACAAATCTAGTAAATTGGATAGTTTGAGCAGAGAAATAGCGGATTTAAACGAGCTTAGAGATGAAAGATTGCGAATTTCATTGGGTAGAGAATTTCACAACGTAACTACTCGATTTATAAAAAACTTTCACCACTTTTAGACAAAATAAGAAGACGCTTCAAAAGAAGCGTACCCCTTAAAAGCTAAAAATGAGTCAGTAGATATCTAGTTGAGCTAAAACAAACGTTTAGATAGATGCATCAAGCGAGATCCCAGCTGATCCAGATCGTCGAGTGGATGTGAGATCAATCGATGGGAACCCTGGCAGCAAAGACGGATATTTCTTTGTGACCATCGGATCTTCGGATACTTCCGTTCATCATATCGATTTTTCTTCCGGAAAAATTAGCAAGAAGTTTGATGTGAATCCAGAGGCGATGTTGATCCCGGTAAAGCTTTCACAGATAGATTTATTGTTGTTGAAAATACACGGTGGCCGCGAATTATACCGACAACTTTTTGGAAAAGTAGCTGGGAAATGGCTAATTTGTTTCAAAAGTGGCAAGTATTATATAGAAAATTGTACCCCTAATTCTTGGCAACATTTATCTACCAAAAACCTCCCGTTTGGGGTTGTACAACTCATTTAACGAGCTCTTGAAAAAGCGCTAGTCGACATCTCTCCGGCGAATCTGTCATTTGGCCGTTTTTCTCTATTAAAAATTGTTAAGAAAAGCTTTTTAATATTTCTTTAATGCAAAAATAGCGTTTAAAATCACTTAATAACATTAAGAAGACACATAACTGGCATAACCAAAATTTAAGTTGATATCAAGCTCCTTTTGGAGGGGCAGAGAAAAAGGTGAAAATTGAGTATTTTCGATGAGTTGTATAAAGCCAAAAGGGAGGTTTTTGGTAGATAAATGTTACCGAGAATTAGGGCTAAAATTCTCGATGTAACACTTGCCACCTCTAAAATAAGTTAGGCATTTGCCAGATACTTTTCCAAAAAATTGTCGCTATAATTCGCGGTCACCTTGTATTTACAAAACTATGCCAATGAATTGCTTTTAGAGAGGGATTCCAGTGAAAGGAGTCGTTTTTGGTGATAAACTCCACGTATTTTACGCTGTGCACGGATGTGGTTTCCGATGGGAACCGGCCAGACTCGTCACTTTGAACCTCGAGAATGGAGAGGGACAGGAAAAACAGGTAAACGACCATGTAAAGATAACTAAACCATGTAAAACAATGCAAATATTCAACTAGATTTTAAAGTTTTACTATATAGATTGAGTCATAGTTGTTACAAATTCAAGTTCAGATCAACGGAGACTTGCCAAGATTCGGCTTTGCGGGAGCTCGAGTGACAGCGCTGAGAAAGAACAACGAATGGCTTCACATTGGGGGTGTGGATAAGCTTAAAAATATAACTACAAACTCAAAGTACCTATCTAAACATCTACTTTTAATTTTCAGGCTCCATTCAAAAAGGAATGACCGGATCGGAGGCTTCCAGGGATGTTTACAGTGTGAATCTCGGAAATGAGGAACCCGCTTGGGCAAAGCTTCCAGTTGAGGTTCGTAAAGGAGTTTTAAAAGCAATTTTCTTTGTGCTGCCAAGTATAAATATAGCAAATGTCTGAAATAGTCACGAGTAGAAAAAAAGCTTTCAAAAACTAGACCGAATTTTCAGGATTCCGACCCCGGTGAGGTGAACTTTGGCTACGATTTCACTGGTGACGCTCTCTACACCGTTGACAAGACTTCGGTCAAGAAATCTCAACTCTAAGTTGTAGTTTTATGCAAATATTGATCAAACTAAACCCAGAGCTTCAAAAGTCTTTACATTTTACCCTATTTTATCATTTTATCATAATACTTTTCGGGTGGTGAAAGAATTTCTTGTCGTAAAGTTAATAGCTGTGATTATTGGTGACCAATTGGTGAATTTTGGTAATAAATGTTTAAGAATTTAAGTTTCAGATTGTTTTTTTATTAGTTAAGGCATCTATTTTCGAATATAAAGTATTATTAACAAAATGAATGCGAGGAATTTTGGCTAACAGATTCACGACGACGCTATTGTCGTGTCGTTACTGTTTTACAGATCGTTGTCGCTATTGTCGTTACTGTTTTACAGATAATTTGGTGAAGATTCAAAGATAAACTAAACTATTATCGTCTTTCGATAGCCCTGAATCTCCTCTTGAAAACTAATACAAAGTTACCGAGAAATTTCTATGAAATAATTAACAAAAGCTTTAAAAACTTGAGTTGACACGAAAAGTAATCGTCATCAGCACCACTGGTGGATCGTATCGTCGTGAATGTGTTAAATTTGAATGTTAAATGCATTAGAACTTGAATGACACGAAAAAATAAACTTTCATCAATTATAGGAACATCAATTATCAATTAAGATGTTCCTATAAAAAAAGCTTAGCAAATTTTAGCTAAAAGCATTCGCTTTGAAACGTAAAATTTTATAAATACTTTGGAAATAAAATTTTTACTATTTTTTTAGTTATTTTAACATCTTAAGTTTCTATAATTAATGAAAGTTTATTCTTTAGTGTCATTCAATTTCTATTACATGCAAAAAAGATTGTTCAAAAAATGTTGATTCAATAAAAAGCTCCAGCCGCGTCAAGGAGGGTCAAAAAAAGCGTCATTTTTGCTCCTTGTCGACCCTAGTTCTCGTTGTAGAGTTACTTTGGGCATTTTTTCGCTCACCAATATTGATCATGAGATCTATCGAATGAGGTATCACTCAACCCAAATGATGTTGGCGGGATTGGAGGTGGAGGTTGAGGGGCACAAAGGGAGCCACGCTGGAGCTATGATCCGACTGGTCTCAACCAGAAGGGCTCTTCAGTGCTTTTCACTAAATGCTCATTTCGGATCATTCCCTTGTGAGTGTGTGTTGTTTGATGGTTAAATATTGAGTTTAAATTGTAAGAAAATCGATTCAATTCAATCAATTCTTTATCAGAAATCCGGCCGGATTTCTACTCATTTGCTACTTGCCAAAAATTAACCAATCCTCAACTTTGGTTATATTTGACAAACCTCAACAAACAAATAACCGTTTACAATCTCAACAATCGCAATACCGTGTATGTGATTGGTGAGACTGAAGTGAAGAAATTTTCCCTCTGTTGCTCTTTTAGCTAATACTTTTGTTCATAAAACATTTTATTCAAATATACATACAGTTGAACGCAAAGAAATAATCGTTATACCCATTTTTGTGAAGATTTCTGGAATGGTATCGTAAAAGCTTTGTTCTTTGGGTGAGATCACAATCATGCAAAACAAAAGGGTGGTGGTGTAAAAAGAAAGAAATCAAAAGAAGCGCATTAGACCTGTGAGTCACGATTTTCTGCTGACATTACTCGATTCTCCACTATCACGACTATCTCTATGGGGTGAGGGTTGACGGGATGTTGACGGCCCTTCATCGCCACTGTAACTGTCCTGTCTCGTGGGGGATGAGGCCAACGCTAGCACTGACTTTCTACGGGGACCAAGGCGAGCCGACAATCGCTCGAGTCGTCCCCATTCCTGAAATTGCAATGAAATCGTGATTAGGTTTATACAAAATCTGCTTTCTTGAGGGATAGAAAGTTCATTAACTATAATGTGAAAGCTCACTAACTAAATTGCTTTACTGCAATGAGTACTATAAGGTGAAAGCTCATTAACTATAAGGTTTACTGCAACGAGTACTATAAGGTGAAAGCTCACTAACTATAAGGTTTACTGCAATGAGTACTATAAGATTAAAGCTCACTAACTATAAGGTTTACTGCAACGAGTACTATAAGGTGAAAGCTCACTAACTATAAGGTTTACTGCAATGAGTACTTTAAAAGTTAACAAATTACCCTAGGTATGGCCGGTATCGGTATCGATAAAGTTTAAGCTATGGTATGAATCGTTTTGTGGACCGTTAACAGGCCTATTCGTACAAAGTTTGCCTATGAAATTGCTGATCTAAAGATCACAAAAGACCATCTAGTTGTTCAAGAACAGATTTCAACTTTGATAGCCTTACCTCTTGATATGTTTCGTACAACTTCTTCGCATCGGTCGCATAAACGAGTTTTTTTTCGCGGAACTTTCGGGGAACTAAAAAAAAGAGAATGCTGATGAATGATTTTTGAAGAAAATGATTTTATCCAGCTGTTTCCCCAATCAGAAGTTCAACTACTGCCTTGAACAAGGCTTCCACACACTTTACCACACACTTTATTACTCAAAAAGCTTCCACACACTTTATTACAAAGACAGCTCGATTTTTCAGCTAAAGCCCAGATCGAATTTGGACTTACTATAGAGTATTTTAAAACTGAAATTCTGGGGAGCATTTCTGCACCTAAACGATCCTGATCAGAGCCACCTAGCTCTCCAAAAAGACATTGTAGTGCGCTAGAGGTAAACTGTCATGGCGCTCACCTATTTGAACCTGTTTTCAATAAATAAATCCTTCAAAAAGCCTTTTTAAATTTACACTTTTGCTTCAAGTAACAGTTAAATTGTTATTTTAAACGAATGAAATCTCTCATCAAAATAGAAACGTAAAGTAGTCTTGAAAAACATGCGAAACTCTGTTGTCGTGACGATCTCGTGATCGAGATCCCAGCCAGACACCTTTGTGGGCGAACGCCTATTGTGCGAAATTTAATATGCGTCGCTATCCGTTCAATTCCATTGTGTGCAAGACGAGACCAACGCCAAAGTTCTGTATAAAAGCAATGTGAATGATCTGCCGAGGTGTGCTGTGGAGTCGTTCCTCGATATCTGCACTGATGCCAATTCCGAGTAAAATGGCATCAGTGCAGATATCGAGGAAAGCCAAGACGACAAATATGTATTCGAGCATTTTGAGAAAAATGTGAAGATGTCGAAAGATGGAAGAGTTGTCGTTGCTCTACCATTTCGAGAAGGAGCTCAAGGAGAACTAGGGACAAATTTTTGATTCCATCTTGGTCACAACAAGGTAAGGGACCACGTAGGAGAACCAGGGACAAATTTTCGAGTTGCTTTAAAAAGGCTTCACATCTTGTGGGATTCAGCAAGCAAGAATCCGAGTCTGTGGAAAGCAATCACAGAATCAATCGAGCAACAAGAAAAGATCGAAATTGTGGAAGAGGTGAGAGAACCTCCAAAAGGACGGTCCTACGTGGTCCCTTACCTTGTTGTGACCAAGATGGAATCAAAAATTTGTCCCTAGTTCTCCTTGAGCTCCTTCTCGAAATGGTAGAGCAACGACAACTCTTCCATCTTTCGACATCTTCACATTTTTCTCAAAATGCTCGAATACATATTTGTCATCTTGGCTTTCCTCGATATCTCCAATCTCAACCACCAATAATCACTACATCTGTGTTGTCTCATGGGCGATTTGCCTCGAATTGGGGTTCTTGTGGCAATGGCCGCATTGCAAGGCTTCTTGAAAAGGCTAGAATATCTGATCCGAGTGATTTTCTTATAGAAATGTTCATCAAAATTTCAGCTTCAAAATACCAGAAAACAAGGGAAACTTTGTTTTAGTTTTCATTTAGAAAATTAATCATTTACAAGTGTGCGGGAACTTTTTGATCATCCTGTAATATTTTGGTTGATTCCCAACCCAAATCCCATAAAAAAGCGCATTAATTTTTAAAATAGCATACCCAACAATAAGTGCCTTGTAATATCATCAAGTAATCGTAAAACTCAATTGCCAATCTTTCCAACTCACCTCTATCTTCATCAAAACTTTCCCTCACTCGACTCCGTCGCCGTTTCGGCTCTTCATCTGGGATTTCGATTGTCACATGTTGCAATTCAACTTCATCCATGATATCCGGCGGTTTCATTATCTAATTCTTATTGTTATTTTTATTAGTTAATCATAAGTCAGCTTTTTATCAGCTAATCCTAAGCCATTTAAAACATAAACATAGCTTTGCCAGTGCTCGATATTTTGCATATTAAAAGTTGAAACAAAAACGCCAAGCAAAACAAAAAAAAACAAAAAACTCAAAAATAAAACTCTTTACATTGTAGAAAACTTTAGCTTGTAGGCGTAAAGTCTTTGGTCTCAGTGTGGAGAGATTCTAGAAATGCTTTAAAATTCGAGAGATTTGAGTACCTGAATATTGTGATTATCCTCTTCAAGCTCTCCGTCATCATCGAAATCCTCCGGCATTTCTAAGCGAATCGATTCGGGAAAAGAGGGTTGAGTCTAAAATCTTTTGACTTTTTCAAATGCTTTAGAAATTAAATTCGATGTCTACCTCTTCTACAGGAGAACAAATATACAAATCGTTCGATAGAGATTGAAATGTCGGATTTCGGATTATCAGATCCGGTTCGATCAGTGAAGGAGCTCTGAAAAGGTTGAAATTGCAATTTATCTGATTAAGATTACTATTCTTGATAAAAATGATCTAGGCTTCTACAAAAAACCAATGGAAAAGTTATTGTAAAGCGATAAAACTTCACTATTGCTTTGGTAAGCAACTACAGCTCAACCAAACTCAACCAACTACAGCTCAACTCACTGGCTACATATTGAAGTCTTTGGTGTTTTCTTTGGAGTCGATTGATTCGTCAATAGCGGGGCTTCTTCTTGCTCTGGACTCTCAGGACTCATTGGTTCACTTCTCGGTTCTGGCTCAATTGGTGGCTCCTCCTCATCCTCATTAATATCCGGTGGTGGTTCTTTGCCTTCCTGCAATAATTTTGCTGTAAAAATGCTTTATTCAGGCTCATCTCAGGCTCTTCAGGCTCAGCCGAGGCTCTTCAGGCTCAGCTCAGGCTCTTTTTATCTGTATTTGCACGATAAAAAGATTGCTAATCAGTCATTAAATAATTTCCCAAAAAGCAAAATATTTCTGGAGGTATGGGGAATTGAACCCCAGACCTCTCGCATGCTAAGCGAGCGCTCTACCACTGAGCTATACCCCCAGGTGGCTTTGTGGTAAAGAAAAGAGGAGAAATCTCGCATCCAAATATGCCATTGTCAATTTGCTGGATCGAAAATGGTGTCAATTGAGGGGAAAGTGTTCATATGTTCACTGCAAATCCCCCCAAGCCATCATGGGGGTATAGCTCAGTGGTAGAGCGCTCGCTTAGCATGCGAGAGGTCTGGGGTTCAATTCCCCATACCTCCAGAAATATTTTGCTTTTCATTTTTTGATTTTATTTTCATTTTCGCTTCAATTTTATAGTTTCAATGAAACTCAAAAATTGAAAAATTCAAATCAATTGCACAAAAATTTTCACCGCAATAGCAATAGTTCGCTCAACAACATTCTCCAAATCCAAAGCATCGATCGCTGACGGATCGATGCCACATTTTTTGCCGACCGCGTGCAGCAAATCTTTCACTTTCATTCTGAAAACGAAGAGAAGTTTAAAAATTGAAATTATAGAATTTTTGGATAAGCTTTCTACAAATTGTAAAGGGAAATTTGAAAATGAAAACTGACGCCTTTCCACCAAACCAGATCTTTGTCTGCGCGGCGTCTTTCATCTTTTTCCCAAGATAATGCAACTTTTTCATGTACTCCGAGCCAATATCTGAAAATTGATCATAGAATTGATGCTGATGATCTAATAGATCTAGAAATTTGAATAGAAATAGGACTAGATCTAGAAATAGACCGAAAAATAGACCTAGAAATGGATCTAGAAATAGATCTAGAAATAGATCTAGCAATAGATCTAGAACTAGACCTAGAAATAGACCTAGAAATAGACCTAGAAATAGACCTAGAAATAGACCTAGAAATAGACCTAGAAATAGATCTAGAAATAGATCTAGAAATAGATCTAGAAATAGATCTAGAAATAGATTTAGAACTAGATATAGAACTAGATCCAGAAATAGATCTAGCAATAGATCTAGAACTAAATCTAGAAATAGACCTAGAAATAGATCTAGCAATAGATCTAGAAATTTCGACTTACCAATAGCAATGGTTGTGATAGCAAGTCCTAGACAAACGTAGAGGAAAGTGATTGGGAGAAATACCACTCTGAAAAGACTCTTTGAATCACTTTGCTTTTGGTTTTTTTGGTGTATTGTAGCATTAATAAATATCGGAAAATTGTTTTTTAACATTTTTAAAACATTTTTATAACATTTATAACATTAGAACCGACTTTGATGGGACGAGTTGCCCGAAATCGATCGCGGTCAAACACAGAAAATTGTAGTAAAGCCCGTTTAGGAAATCGACCTGTAATTGGGCTAGTTTTAAGTCAGATTTTGAAAATCTTGAGGCAAATTTCGAAAATCTGAATAACTGAGCTAAAAATCTCAAAGATTTAACTCTCCAAAGTGTGATAGCAAGTCCTGTAATGACTCACCTGGCCATTCAAAGCTGGCAACAACAGAGCTCCAAGAGCCACATATAACAAGAAGACAATTAACAGAACTAGCGAGGTCACCTGAATTGGTTGTATTCAATTACCTGAATACTTAAATACTTACCGTAAATACTGTAATAGTACCCCACCCCCATAATGACGGTGCGGAGTGTTGCGTAGTCTAGCTTTGAACGAGTCTTTCTCGACACTGGTTTATGCTACAATGCGCGCAAAGGTATCAAAAAATAGCTGAAATTCGGGGCTATTTTTTGATACCAAAAACGAATCTTTTGAAAGTACGGGCGCTTTGAAAAAAAATGAAATACTAAAAAACTTTTGCGACTACGCTTCCCTATAATGACGGTGCGGAGCGTTGCGTAGTCTAGCCCGTTTTTCTCGACACTGGTTTATGCTACAATGCGCGCTTAGGTATCAAAAAATAGCCCTGAATTTCAGCTATTTTTTGATACCAAAGACGTATTTTTTGAAAGTACGAGCGCTTTGAAAAAAATGAAATACTAAAAACTACGCGACTACGCGACTGTACGAGGGCGGTGGGGTACTATTGTAATAGTAAATACTGTACTATTTACGGTAAATACTTAAGTACTTGAAAACCTACTTGAATTGAAGATTCTTTATATTCTTCACCACTCAACGAAGCCTTTGACATTCTGCGCCGTTGTCGATACTCTTCGAGCTTAAATCTTCGAGCTTAAATTGTAGAAAATCGACTTGAGCTGCACTAGCTTTTGAATTTCTAATTTCGAGTTCTAATTTCGAGTTCAAATTTCGATTTCTAATTCCGGTTCAAGTTTCTTCTTCAAATTCTTGAAAACTTCAAAGTTTGAATGACTCACCATTCTTCTTGAATCACCGGCAAATTGATTGAGATATTGACCGACATTAGCGATGATGATCATCGTAATCGGAATCCCGCAAATCCCGTAAGCGATGCAGAAAATTCGACCCGCTTGAGTGATTGGGGCTATTCGATTGTAGCCTGAAAACTTTGCAAAACATAGATTGACTCTGATTTAACTCATAAAGGAATGATGTCAGCTCGTGATCGACTCTGAACTGATTAGACCTTATAGAGTCAACCACGCTGATCACTATGCCGTAAAAACTAGCTGCTAACATCCACGCGAACTCAAGATATTTGGCCGAGAAGTTTTGGGATTCCTTTAAAAGGCTTTTTACTAGCCAGTCAAATATCAGGCTGGTGGCCTAGTGGATAAGAGAGCGGTATGCAAAAGGAAGCTATCGATATTTAGCTTGGGCTCAATTCCTTTCATTAAAGATCAAGGAGCAATGCGAATTCTAAAAAATTCAAAAATTTTAGTCAAGGGAGGAATTGAACCCAAGCAAAAAGCCAATCGCTCGCTCTGTATCCTCTTATCCACTACGCCACCGGCCGACATCTTACTGCCTTTTGAAGCCTTCTTTTGAGGCCTTTTGAAGGAATCGAAAAACTCGACTCTAGAAGGTCTAATCGATCCCGAATCGATCGGCGTTGGTGAGCTGACTTGTCAAGGAAGGGTCAACTGGCTGAGCCAAATGCTAAGCGACCTATACCATTTGGCGCAGAATTTTATGCTGATTCCGAATATAGATTCCGTTTTTGCTAAATGACAATCTGCCAGGAGTTATAAGCGTTTAAAGTTTTTTAGGACTCTGAAAAGGTGGTCATTTAGATCTTAAGGGCTTCCTTGCAAGCACCAGCTCGGTGCAGCCGTGACCGAGTGGTACAGCGTCCGTTTCCAGAGCGAGACCTCACAAGTTCCACCCCAGCTTTGAATTTTTCTTTTGCTTTTTTTCAGGAAGTGCTGACTAGTGTTCTTTGTGCGCACAATTGCTAGTACAAGTATTGCAATAGCTAAAAACAGTACAAATGTATTCGTACCGTACACTTCTATTTCATTGTCAGTTATGTTACATTGATGTTATCCTTCATTGATCTTCATTGAGATTGCAATGAAGAGAAATGGTATAGCCTGGTCTCCAGGTAACTCATTGACCTAATTTTACTCATCTAATCGAATCTAATTCGTTCAAAACCGAAATCAATGTTTTTGGACTCACCCAAAGTCGTCACAATTCCAAATCCATACAAAGTGGCCGTCACAAAACTCCACTCCGAGCGCTCATCTTTCTCCGGGGTGAAACAAGGCGATAATCGATAAGCAGTTGCGTTGATCGCTCGCTTGTCTTTATGAGGAAGATGCTCGATCAGCGAGAGTTTCTAAAATTAAGTCATTGTCGTTCTAATGTCGTTTAAGACTCGTCGATACGACTCGTCTAACCTTTTTGATGCAATCAATCTTTGTCATTAGCTCCTTGTCTTGATGTTCTCTAAAATTTTGGAATAATTAGAAAATTTGAGCACAAGAACTTTAATGCATCAGCTTCCAATCGATTGAAGATCATTCCACCAGCAAAAGCATAACAAAGAACAAGGAGAAGAAGAGAACAGTGGAGGGTGAAGGGCTTGGCTCTCTGAAATTGGGTTTTTCTTTAAAAGCGGTTGGATGACATTCATAATTATATCCCTAATAAAACTTCACATTTAAAATATCAGCTCAATTAATTAGTGACCCATGCAGTGTTGCCTTTCAGATTACTAGTAACGATAGATTTCGAGTGTCCCCCACCCCCTCTGCTCCCCAAATCCTCCAAGTCCTCCAAGTCCCATCTCCAAGTGCCCCCCAAGTGTTTTCGACGCTTTTTACCCATAACTTTTCGACTTTCGACTGATTTAGTCATCAGTTTATTTCTTAAAACTAATAATTTAATGAATCTGATGATCTATTGGGTTGGTGAATTGAAAACCGCGGGGCTTTGAACTAAAATTTATTCAACATAAAACCATCATTTCATTCCAAATAATTTCCATTATTATTGACGATTTCTGCCCATTTTACAGGCAATTTGCGGATTCCTCTTTCGTATTAGGATTTTGGTTTGTGTGTGAGACTCAAAAATCGAGGACTGGAGATGTTCAAAAATGGAGGGCCCAAAAATGGGTTCAAAACCAGTTTGAGCACTTTCTTCAAAAGAAACCCATTTTGGTGTCAATGGAAAAGTTGTAGAGAATCAAAAATCAAGCTTATATCCAAATTTTCAGAACGATTCAAAAACTGGTTTTCAAGAAATGCGAAATTTAAGAAAGAAATGCCAAATTTTCACAAAACATGCATTTTAAGCGAAACTACTAAGTGTATTGTGAAAATTCGTAAATTTCGCATTTCTTGAAAACCAGTTTTTGAATCGTTCTAAATCGTTCTATTAACACCAAAATGGATTTCTTTTGAAGAAAGTGCTCAAACTGTCACCTACGACAATAGCCGGCAGTTTTCAATTCACCAATCCCATACTACAATTGTAAAATAAGTTCTGACAACTCATTTGAATGGATGCAGAATAGTTTTGATGATATGATGAAGCATACCAGCAGAACAGCAAGAGCAGAACAGCAAAAAAAAGTTTCCTCCTAGGGGAACACTTGGGGAGCAAGGAGAGGAGACACTCGAAATGTATACTAGTAACCAAAAATCTATGTAAAGATCAGCAATTAGAGAATTGAATAAAGAAAATACTTATATAAGCTTTAAATTCTCAATGCAAAGTCGAAAATTTTCAGATCTGGACACCTGAAAATTCGTCTCTTTGACTTTGGCCGCCCTGGCCGCTCGAGCCTGTTGTGCTCGCCTAGCTTGAACGCCTCGGAGGTAGAAATTTTCCATTCAGAAGCAAAAAAAAACAATCAAAATGAATTAATCGACATCACGGAATCAAATCGTCGATTCGACGATTCAAATCGACAAACAAGTAGTTTCAGTCGGTGTTGTGGGTGGAAGTCGAGTGGTCGGTCAGTGAGGGAAAGGGGCACGAGTTGGCTTCATCCACACACCCACACTCACACAAAACAAAATTTCCCCGCGGCTTCTTTCCCCGACTTCCCAAATTGGCACACAGCTGAACCCCGTGGCGTGGAAAAGTTTGGAAAAGTAGAGAATTGACTGGTAGCTCTTCATCACTCTCGCAACTTTTGTTCATCAAAGAACAAACAATTTGCAGTAGAAATGGGGTGTACTTTGTAGACTTGTAGCGAAAACATCTGTCAGTCCTTTTTCCCGTCAGCAATCTAAGGTTTTTCGTTTTTTTCTTAGCACCAACCCTTCTATTTTGATTATTTTGACTATCATTCGATGGAGAATAAAATTGCGCGTTGAATGATACCAAAACCGACGCAAAATATGATATCCGTGCAAAGTTATAAGGCAAAAAGTTAAGTCCATAATGGGCAGGACTTAACCTTTTGCCGTTGGCAATTTAGGGTTTCTCTCAGCAATAACCCTTGACTATATTGACTATCATTCGATGCAGAATTAAATTGCGCGTTGAATGATACCAAAAACAACTCAAAATATAATATTCATGCATAGTTATTGGCTAAAAACCTAAACCTCGCCTATTATGGGCGGGACTTAACCTTTTGCCTCATAACTTTGCATGGATATCATATTTTGAGTTGGTTTTGGTATCACTCAACGCGCAATTTTATTCTGCATCAAATAATAGTCAAAATAAACAAAATGAAAGGGTTGACGCTGAGAAAAAGACGAAAAACCTTAAGTTGCAAACGGGAAAAGGACTGACAGATGTTTTCGTTACAAGTCTAGTACTTTGTAGTTAAAAATACGGAAAAAAACAATTTCTGACGTAAGAAATCGTTATTTTTCTTGTTATCGTTAGTATTTTTATCAAAAAGAATAGAAATGAAGTCAGCCAGAGAGTGTGCGTTTCTAGAAAGCTCACGACGATGATAATCCTCAAAAATTTGGCTAGTTTTTGAGGCAAAAGGGATTTCTAAGAGATCAATTTTTGAAGCTAGATATGTCGAAGGAGAAAGAGCAACGTTTAAACAAAAACTGATATTTCAAACCGGACAACAAGGAGTTACCGAGTTTTTTTTTTCTGTTTTTCCTGCATCCTTCGAGCAGTACAAAAAATGCATAGCATTTTTTGTACTGCTCGGCTAGGGTTGTCAAAGTCATTAAAAAGTGTTAAGGTTCTTCTATTCTATGTAAAATTATTTAAGATTTTATGATTAATTCTTGTTTTTCAGCTTAGGTTGATGTATTATCTTAAAAAGCCAAAAAAAAATGCATTAAGAGTAACACTATGTACAGTGGTAGAAAAAACATTGCTTTTCCTTGCAAAAACATTGCAAAAGTCGACACATTTAACAGCGTCGCCATTTGAATTTAGTTTTTTAAATTTGATTGTAGATTAGTGTTCTTAAAAATAAAAAGCAAAGTGTTTTCAATGGCGAAAACTATAAAACATAAATGATTGCCTAAATTGTGCCCGAATAAACTAACTTTAAAGCACTCTTGTAACCGGTTTTTAACTCAACGAAAGTAATAATCTAGTCCCTTGCAATCTCGTTTATTATAAGTCAAAAGTACTCAAAAATCCCCTAACTTTCGTCATCGAGTTAAACGAGTTTAAGAAACTCGTTACGATTCGTTATCATAACAAGATTTTTAGCTAACAATTTGGCCAACTTTAGCTTTTTAGCTAAAAAGTTGGCTAAGACTTAGCCAACTTTAGCTTTTAAACCAATTTTTAACCTTTTAAATCAATCAACACTTATCCAAAAAGTCCCCTTCTTTTCAAAACTCACAGAGTTAAACGCGGAAACGTTTGCCGAGCTGAAAATCGCCATGAAAATGCGGCCGATTTATTGGCCGTGGCCAAAGAAATAAATTCAGCCTTAAGTGTCGCTGAGAATTGGAAGAAATCTCTCAGAAAAATCTCTTCAAGGGAAATGTTCTGGTTGTGTGTGGTGTCTGAAGCAATTGGATAAAAGACATTGACCATTTGAAAGGCAAAAAAAGAAGAAGAAGAAGAAAGGGAAAAGGAAGAAAGGGAAAAGATCTTGGAGACGAACAGAGATTGCGAATGGAAACGAACACAAAGCCATACGTTTTCTTTCCGGAGGAAACGGTGAATGATGCTTTGAACTTTGAGCAGTTTAAAGTAGATTTAGAAGTGCTGGATCTTGTTAGTCAAAGTCAAAGTCAAAGATCGAATAGAAGTTGTCATTGTTGTTTTTGGAGTTGTTTAGATTGATTTATGTTGTTGTTTGATAGCGGATTGTGAGTTAAACAAGTTCCTTAAAGTCCATTGGTTTGTTAAAAGGGATTCCATTGGTAGAATGAATAAAGTGAATAGCTCCAATTGATTACCAAAAAGTTTTGAATCGACCGGAATCAATGGTAATCTGAGGGAGCCAAATCGGGAGCATACGGCGGATGTGGTAAAGCCTCCCATCCTAGATTCTCCAGTTTTTGCTGAGTCATCTTTGCAACGTGAGGTCTAGCGTTGTAATGGATGAATTTTATCTTTGATGTGTCTACTCCTTGACGAATGAGAACTTCGTTGACCCGATCAAGTTGCTGTTTGTAGAGGTCGGATGTGACTGTTTGGCCGGTTTGTAAAAGCTCGAAATACACAAGGACCTTGTTATTCCACCATACTGAGAGCATGACCTTTTTCCCATGAATGTCCGGTTTCACGGTCGGATTTCGCCGTTCTCCTGGTCCCAAATATGCGCGAGATAACGTACTTTTAAATACAGAAAGATATGTTTTAAAAGCTTCTCTCATAACAAAAAGTTTAGCAACGCTTGTTTATATCCGAACAACCTAATGAACACAGAATGAAAAGTGAACACCGATTTTCTCTAGACAAATTTCTCTGGACTCTTCGAAGCATGAGTACTCTACTGAGTACGTGAGTACTGAGTATTCAAAAGCTCCATTTAACTTTTAAAGTCCTCTTTAGCGGATCAGAGCCTTAATTACACCAATGTCCAATGCGCTCTCATAAAATCTTTTCAAAAACTCACCGCTCGAAATCGATATTGCGATGATTTCACGCGTTGCACCGTTTGATGTGCCCGCATCGTTTAGAGAAAGAAAAACGGGGGAAATCGACGAGGAAAGCGACGAGGAAGACGGCAAAAAAGTGAATGGGTAATTGGTCTCGAATCTTGTCACACCGAAAGCCAGAATTGGTGTGATCAACGCGTGTGTTGCAGTGAAAAGGATTTGGGTGGGGAGGGTAATGGAATCCAATTTCGAGACGATCAAAACGGGAAGAGGAAAAAGAAGAATGCCTCTCACTCGTACCCACAAATAAACTCCGGAATATTTAGTGAATTTGTAGGAAGCGTGTAGTTGGGAGGAGGGGGGCGGGGAAGTAAGAACCCTTCTAGGGCCACCTAGAAGGAAATAATAAAGGAAAAAAACTCAGCTAGGGTGTAGAAAACGAATAATTTCACCGAATTTCACCGAATTCATTCATTTTCTTTAGCGATTCTAGTTTGTTGGATCGCTTTTAGAGCTCAATTTCTCAATTTACACTAAGTCCGCTTGCAAAACCTTGCACTTGCAAAGCATTTGCACTAAGCCCGCTTGCAATGTAAATTTTTGTTTCTGATTTACCGGCCATCACATATTCAATGAAAAGTTGACTTTATACTTAAAATTTACTAAAAATAAATTGAAATTTGACTTAAAAAGCGTTTTAGATATTTCCGGGTAAAAAGTCAAAAGTTCTTTATCAATTTTCATAGCTGTAAGAACGATGGAAAGTTGAATAAGTGAACTTCGAAGACTTCTGTTCTTTTTCAGAGATCCGTAGTTGCTCTCCACTTAATAGCGCGTCAATAGCTGCTAATAGCGCGCCAATAGCTGCTAATAGCGCGCCAATAGCTGCTTATAGCTCCTTATAGCTGCTAATAGCGCGCTCTAGCTACTGTACCCCGTCGTCGCGCCAACAAACTATATAAAGAGTATATAAAGGAGGTTTTCCAGTTCACTTTTCACTGAAACAATCAAAAAATTAAACATAAATTTGATTCTTTTATGTTTTCAAAGTATTTATCTTACTTCTTACTTGAGTTACTGATAAGAAAGTTGGGTTTTTCTCAGAAATACGGGTCTTTTGAAAAAATCTGGGATTTTCTTCGCAATTATAGTCTCCAACAGTGCTCGGTTGCTTCTTATCTATCCGTAATTCAAGTAAGAAGTAAGATAAATACTTTTAAAACATAAAACACTTTCAATTCCAATTCAATTCCAAACATAAACGACGCTCAACTACAACCAAATTCTGAGGTGAAGAGCTCAAAAAAACGACGGGGATTTTCTCTCGTTTGATGAATGATGCTTTGGAGTGAGCAAGAGAAAGAGCGCACAAAATATGGACTTTACGAGTGAGAAATGGCTTTGTCCAAGAGTTGTCACTTTCAGGTTTAAAGCTTTAAGTGAAATCGAATCCCGAAAAAGGTGTTCGCTTTTGTTTACCCGCTTTTAAAGGTTTTTGAAACGCTGGAGAGTGTCGGTTTGTTTTTGGAGTTGGGTTTAGTAGGTTGAATCTAGTTTTCGGCAAAATTTATGATATCATGGCTGATAAATAATGGTTGTTAAATAGCCTTGTCAAAGAAACCACGTGCAGAGATGCTCCAGCCGGGCTCTGACACCTGTAAGCCAGCAAGTTGAAGCCAAAGACTCAGATTTTCCTGCAATCCTTGGTTTCGACCTGGCTTTAGGCAAGGACTTGAGTAAAATCTGGTCTTGCTTCTGGTCTTGCTTCTGGTCTAGCTTCTGATCTTGCTTCTGGTTTTGCTTCTGGTCTTGCTTCTGGTCTAGCTTCTGGTCTAGCTTCTGGTCTTGCTTCTGGTCTTGCTTCTGGTCTTGCTTCTGGTCTAGCTTCTGGTCTTGCTTCTGCTCATGCTTCTGGTCTTGCTTCTGGTCTTGCTTCTGATCTTGCTTCTAATCTAGCTTCTGGTCTTGCTAGCAAAGCAATACCAGAATCCAGAGAAGTCTTTGGTCCGGAGTTGAAGCCTTGTTTAGCAAGCCAGATCTAGGCCCCAGCAAGGATTGGAGTAAAGCCGAGACCAAGCTAAGTTAGGCAAAGCAAGACCAGAAGCCATCCCAGCTCCTGACTTTTGTCCTGACCCTGACCAGGGAAAGGGAAAGGTTTTTGGAACTATGGTTATGTTAGAAAACAGTACATAACTTTAATCTTGTACTTTTTGGGTTTAAAAATTTTTTTTACATAAAACAGCTAATTTCAAACTGAAAGCACTAAGATTTGTTAAGATTTAAAAAATTTAAAAAATTTCTCACCACCCAAGAAGAAATAAACGCACTTCCTTGTAATAAACCACCCATTTTTATCAAAATTTAGTATAAAATAATCAATGAAATAGAAATAGAAATAGAAATAGGTTGGAATGAAGAATGGAAGCTTTTTTTGAAAGTTGAAAGAAAAAAAGTTAAAGGAAAAAGTTCACTGATGAGCTGTTGTGGGGGATAAGTGGCTGACGATGGTCGTTGAAGAGGAAAACAAAAGAAAACTGCAAATTTGTCTTGACTAACTCGTTAGTGATGCAAATATTAGACTAAAATTGAAAGATGCAAACGAAAGAGAGCCAGCAAAATACAGAAAATCTTAAGGTTTAGCAAATCACAGTTAATGCAAGTGTTGAAGAGTTTTTTAGCTCCAAACAAGTTGATACTTGGGTTTATCATAGCCAAACTATAATATAGTACTGTAATCGTACCGCATCCCCATAATGACGGTGCGGAGTGTTGCGTAGTCTAGCTTTGAACGAGTCTTTCTCGGCACTGGTTTATGCTACAATGCGCGCAAAGGTATCAAAAAATAGCTGAAATTCGGGGCTATTTTTTGATACTAAAGACGGGCGCTTTGAAAGTACGGACACTTTGAAAGTACGGACGCTTTGAAAGTACGGACGCTTTGAAAGTACGGACGCTTTGAAAAAAATGCACTACCTAAAACCTAAAAACTTTTGCGACTACGCAACTGTACGCAACTGTCGAAACACGCTAAAAAAGGTTTTAGTTTGTAAACTTTACTTTCAAACAAAGGATTATTGTTTTTGGCACTTAGCTTAGCTTTTCTCGAAATTGGTTTTTGCATTTGCACTAATATGGCTCAACTTGCACTAATATACTATTGTAAATCCTGTAATAGTACCCTATTCCTAAATGATGATGCGGAGTGTCGCGTAGTCTAGCTTTGAACGCGTTTTTCTCACCATTGGCCCAGGCTACAATGCACTATTAAGCATCGAAAAATAGCTGAAATTCGGGGCTATTTTTTGATACCAAAAACGAATCTTTTGAAAGCACGGATGCTTTGAAAAAATAAAATATGAAATAAATATGAAAATCATTCTGTGAAACTGTGAGATTCGATGGATATTGGTCGAAATAAAAATCTTACGTCAAAATCCGGGAGTAGAGCAAGAATCGCTTGAACGATGATGATCATTTTGCAATCTTTTCACAAGTTTCCTTCTCTTCAAGTCATTCTGAAAGCAATTTTCTTAAGATAAAATTACAATTGGGTTTCAAGGAAAATTGAGCGATTGTTAAATTGGGCAAAATTGGAAATTGGGCAGAACGTTGGATCGATCAACAGAAAGAAAAGCACTTTAAGTTTCTTTGGAAAATATTAAAAGCAACTTTGAACAGGAAATGATTAGGAAAATGAATTTTGATTATGGAATATAATGGTTAGAAATATGAATTTTGATCAAAAGAACTGGAAAATTGCCAACAATGGGAATTCAAAAGCGACATTACTTTTTCCTCAACCTAAGATTGGGTTGGTGAATTGAAAACTGCGGGCTATTTTCATATGTGACAGTTTGAGCACTTTCTTCAAAAGAAACCCATTTTGGTGTCAATGGAAAAGTTGTAGAGAATCAAAAATCAAGCTTATATCCAAATTTTCAAAACGATTCAAAAACGAGTTTTCAAGAAATGAGAAATTTACGAATTTTCACAAAACTTGCAACAAAACTTGCATTTTAAGCGAAACTACTAAGTGTATCTTTTTGGAAATTTGGCTATATGCCTAATTTTTGATTCTCTACAACTTTTCTATTGACACCAAAATGGGTTTCTTTTGAAGGTCGTGCTCAAACTGGGATCTCCAGTCTCCATCTCCAGTCCTCCATTTTTGAGTCTCACACTTGTCTCACACACAAACCAAAATCCTACTACGAAAGAGGAATTGCCTGTGGAATGGCCGCAAATTGCTTGTAAAATGGGCAGAAGTCGTCAATAATAATGGAAATTATTTGGAATGAATTATGGTTTTATGTTGAATAAATTTTAGTTCAAAGTCCCGCGGTTTTCAATTCATCAACCCAATATATTGAAACTATTGTTAACTATTGTTTTATTGTTTGTTGCATAAAGGGAGACACTATTCGTTGCTCGAATATTGAGAATTAGAGAATAATGCTTGAGTTTTCAAGCTCTTTTCTCTCCACCTCTAGTTCATTTTAACAAACAAACCATTGAAAACATTATAGTGATTGTTTTCAATTCACCAACCCAATAGATCATCAGATTCATTAAATTATTAGCTTTAAGAAATAAACTGATGACTAAATCAGTCGAAAGTCGAAAAAGCTATGAGTAAAAAGCGTCGAAAACACTTGGGGGACACTTAGGGGACACTTGAAGGAGGGACTTGGAGGACTTGGAGGACTTGGGGGGCAGAGGGAGTGGGGGACACTTGAAGTGTATCGTTACTAGTAATCTGAAAGGCAACACTGCAAGGGTACGAATAGCCTTGTTTGGAAACTTTTGTCGCATCCCCATACAGTCCGGACCTCGCTCCTTTTGATTACTATTTCTTCCGGAGTAATGAGTAATGAGCTTGCGGGAGAACACTTCGATTCGGAAGAAGCAGTCAAAAATTGGCTCCAAAAGTTTTTCGATTCAAAACCAAAATCCTACTACGAAAGAGGAATCCGCAAATTGCCTGTAAAATGGGCAGAAGTCGTCAATAATAATGGAAATTCTTTGGAATGAATTGATGGTTTTATGTTGAATAAATTTAAGTTCAAAGTCCCGCAGTTTTCAATTCACTAACCTAATAGTCGTACAAATTGCTAATCGATCTTGAAAATCGATCTTGAAGATCGGAAAATCGATGCTGACCCATAACAATAAGAAAAGAGGTGTCGAAACCAGAAACAGAGGGTTTTTACGTGAAAGAAAGAGAAAAGAGTAGTTATTTCGACTTGCCCAAAATGATTGTACAAATTCGATTAGCTGATGAAGGGCTCAGATGGTGACCAATGGGGAAAACGGGGGAATGAATGGACGGTGGAAGAGAGGGGATCCAAAGGGAAGGGGCTAGGGAAGAGGCCAAGGAAGGGGCCAAGGAAGGGGCTTTTCACTCTAGCTTGGAAAATAAAACGCAACTGGCTGAGATTTGGGGATCTGCGTTTTAACTTTTACTTTTGAGCCTTCAAATCATTTAGAGTACTTGACTCTATTTACTTTTGTACTACTTTTGTACTTTAGAGTACATTTGTCTTCTACTTTTTCTAGTTTCACCCCTATTTTTCTTTACTCTTTGATTTCAATTTGCTGATTTGTTCTTCTGTTTTGGTTGATTATCACTTTTGAATCTGTTTTTTAACTGATTTTTTAGCCTCTTTAAGCTCAATTTGCTGATTAACTTGTCCTTATCTATTCTTGTTATCATTTTTGACCTTCTGAAACAGGAGTTCAATCATAAAGAAGTAAAGGAATTGGCAAGAAAAAGTAGATTTCCGGAGAGAGAATTGAACCCTGAGCTTCCTGAGCAATTGCCGAGAAAAGTTGACTATCAACCGTCGACTTTTTGCTTTCCGGGCAATAGCTCTAACCACTGAGCTACCTGATACCTTAACTTGCTAAGAGAAAGAAGGAAAAACAAGGGGAAGAAGAAAGGAAGAAAGAAAGAAGGAAGGAAAGAAGGAAAGAAAGAAGGAAAGAAGAAAGAAGAAAGAAGAAAAAGGAAAGAATACTCGGATCTTCAGAACCATGTCATTTTACTGTCTAACTGCAGGGTGTTCAGTCAGTATGGAAACCAATTTGAAAACTAAACTAATTTGAAGCTTTGTCCTGGACTCTTAGCGTCGATTTCAAGAAGCTAGTTTTCTGAACCGCTGTTCAGAAATTTTCATGAGCACCTAGTAATTAAAACTTAACAATCAGCGTGTTCCTATCAGCATCCTAAAAAAGTTTCCGGCCCCTGGCGGCTGCATTAGCTAAACAAGCAACATTTCTAGGGAAAACCATTATTGAAATTCGAAATAACTAGAAGTTTTGCAAAGCTTTTCTTGTAAATGATTCATTACGTTTATTCAAGTTAATTTCTATTCGAATAAGCTTTTCTTTGGCGAAACGAGCTTTGCTACCATCGGTTCTGATGAATTGCAGCAAAAGCTATATTTAGCAGGCTTGGAGAAATGAAGAGAACTTTGATTTATTTATGTCAAAGATACAGTCATGGACAAAAGTCTTGGCGGCTCCTGGGTGGCAACTTTCAAACGCAAATTTAGGAACCTTTCCGAGAGGCTATAAAAAAGTTGTCACAAGTATTTTTGAGCATTTTTAGTATTGTAGTAAGCCGCCAAGACTTTTGTCCATTGTTTTTGTGACCTTTTTGTCGCTTACGCTTATTTTTGTTGTTTAAAATCAACTTTCGAGTTCAATGCTTGATCATGGCTAAAAGTAGAGTAAAAATGCTCAAAAATACTTGTGACAACGTTTTTATAGCCTCTCGGAAAGGTTCCTAAATTTGCGTGTTTGAAAGTTGCCACCCAGGAGCCGCCAAGACTTTTGTCCATGACTGTATTCATAGTAATTTTTATATTGAGAATAGTCACACAGTCAACGATCGCTTTATCGCCATTGATAAAAGTAAAAAAGGCTCATAGTTTTCATACTTATTGATCACCCTGTAGTATATGGATCTTTTGAAGTCCCAATCCATCAAGTTTTCACTGATCTACCCTCCAAAATTGACTAATAGAAATCAAGTTCGACTCACAAATTCGTTGATTCAAATATAACAAAGGATCAAGGCTTAAGGCTCAAGGCTTAAGGCTCAAGGCTTAAGGCTCAAGGCTTAAAGGCTCAAGGCTTAAAGGCTCAAGGCTTAAGGCTTAAGGCTCAAGGCTTAAGGCTCAAGGCTTAAAGGCTCAAGGCTTAAGGCTTAAGGCTCAAGGCTTAAGGCTCAAGGCTTAAAGGCTCAAGGCTTAAAGGCTCAAGGCTTAAGGCTTAAGGCTCAAGGCTTAAGGCTCAAGGCTTAAAGGCTCAAGGCTTAAGGCTTAAGGCTCAAGGCTCAAGGCTTAAGGCTCAAGGCTCAAGGCTTAAAGGCTCAAGGCTTAAAGGCTCAAAGCTTAAAGGCTCAAGGCTTAAAGGCTCAAGGCTTAAAGGCTCAAGGCTTAAAGGCTCAAGGCTTAAGGCTTAAGGCTTAAGGCTCAAGGCTGAAGGCTCAAGGCTTAAAGGCTTAAAGGCTCAAGGCTTAAGGCTCAAGGCTTAAGGCTCAAGGCTTAAAGGCTCAAGGCTTAAAGGCTCAAGGCTTAAGGCTCAAGGCTTAAAGGCTCAAAGCCTGCCGCTCAAAGCCAAAGTTGGCTCAAGAAAATGAGCACAAAGTTTAGAGATAGTTTTGAAGCTTACACTAAAGATTTTACTGACCAAGTCTTTCAAATTGTGAAGTTTCACTTGTGAAGTGTTGGCAGCCAAGGTTGGCAACCAAAGTTACACTCACTCAGGAAAGTTTAGCTGTGTTTTAGATGTGAATCGAAGTTCATTTGATCGCAATATGTAACGCAAAAAAAAAGAGTTATCCAAGCAAAGAATTCTGAAAATATTCTGAAAAGGAAAATGAGTTTAATTCGTTTTTTTTAGAATCATAGAGCTCTCAAAGGCTAAAATTCTCGCAGTGCACTGAAGTGAAAGAAATATTCTTTGATTGAACGTGTTCCTTTGGCTTTTCTTGGTTTGTTTCTGTTCTGTTGTTGCTTATTGGATTTGGGGAAATTTGGATTTTGGTCTAGAATCTAGAAAAAATGTGTTCAAAGTTGCAAAAGTCTAAATATAGAATGGTGAATTCAAAGAAAGCGCAAAAATAGACGTCTGAGCAATTTTTCCAAGCCCGCATAGCGTAATCCTTTTTGAATAAACACGAATATTTTGCAGAAGTGTCGAAAAATGAAAATAGATGCATTAAGAAATTAAGTTTAATACTTCAAAAAGTTGTTCAAGAGTGGAGAAGTTAAAGTTTTAAACTTTATTTTGACTTCCAGAGTGAGATTTGAACTTTTAGATTGAGATTTTGACTTCTATTTTAAGATTTAGACTTCTAGAGTGAGATTTAGACTTCTAGATTAAGATTTAGACTTCTAAATTAACATTTTGACTTCTAGTTTAAGATTTTGACTTTTAGATTGAGATTTTGACTTCTAGATTAAGATTCTGACTTCTAGATTGAGAGATTTTGACTTCTAGATTAAGATTTTGACTTTTAGATTGTGATTTAGACTTCTAGATTGAGATTTAGACTTCTAGATTAAGATTCTGACTTCTAGATTGAGATATTTTGACTTCTAGAGTGAGATTTAGACTTCTAGATTAAGATTTTGACTTTTAGATTGAGATTTAGACTTCCAGATTAAGATTTAGACTTCTAGAGTGAGATTTAGACTTCTAGAGTGAGATATTTTGACTTCTAGATTAAGATTTTGACTTCATGCTTGAGACTTGAACTTTTAGATTGAGATTTTGACTTCTAGATTAAGATTCTGACTTCTAGATTAAGATTTCGACTTCTAGATTAAGATTTTGACTTCTAGGGTGAGATTTAGACTTCTAGCTTAAGATTTGGACTTCATGATTGAGATTTAGACTTCTAGATTTTCAAAATTTGATATTCCTTAAGATTCTGGAACTCATAATCAAGATTTTATGGAAATTTAAAAATAATAATATCTTTATCTAAAAGAAGGATTTGGTCACTTTTTGAAAACATACCATTCTTTCGAGTGTTAGGCTAAAAAAGAGCACTTGTTTTAAACACTTAAAACTTTAATCCAAATCTTTCAAAGTGACCAGATTCCTGGCAAAGATCAAAACTTACAATTTTTCAACTCGAAAAGCAAACTTACAACTTTTTAACTCGAAAAGCAAACTTTCAACTCTAATTAGAAAAGAAAATATTCATAAACTAAACCACTAAACACAACTTTTAATCAAAGAGAATCCGGCTCATAAGCTTTGTATTATGAAAAGAGCAAAAACTCAAAGAGAAAAGCCTTTCTTGTGTTTTGGAAAGGCTTTTTGTGGTGGTCCAATAGAGATCCAAACGGGGCGATATGTCAAAATCTTCGACAAGATTGAGGGCAACAAAAAGATTTCCCTCTTTTTGGTGGGGTGAATCTTTGTCTTTTTTTTGGGATTCATATAATAACGTGTAGCTTTTGTTGTAAAAGAAATTTTGTGGACAAGAACAGACAATTGTTTTACCTTGTTCATGGGTTTATATTGGTTTAAAGTTAGTGCCAGGGTTGATCCAGGAATTTGAGGGCCAAAGGTTGATCCAGGAATTTGAGGGCCAAAGGTTGATCCAGGAATTTTCACAGGCAATGCAGACTAAAATCCAAATCCTGTCCTAGCTTTTGATCTAATTTTGCCTGATTTCATTATGAGTGATTTGGCACTTTGATTTGGCAATCTCTGTAGAAAATCTCAATCAACTTCTTCAATTATTGGAAACTATTGGAAAGTTGATCTTTTTGTTGTTGATCTTTTTGAAATTCTCATAAAAGACTAATTAGCCGATAAACCTGTGATTTTCTTTAAATAAAAAAGATAAACCATTTGATTTGGCTCATTTTTAAGTAAATATGTTTCCAATTCAGTCCAGTTGAAGCAAATCCGAACGGATTTGCTTCAAATGGACTTCAACAACTTCAACGAATGCTTGTTTTGCTTTAAATCCTCGCAAAGGAGGACATAGAAAGAGAATGGTTTGATGAAATGCTATCAAAATTTGTCTATTTGTCTAACTTTCGATTCTCTTTTTTTGTCTTTTGACGCAAAAATAGATTTCTGTAAGAAAAAGTGCTTAAAAGGTTTGAGTTTCATCGTTTTTCACTACTCGACTTGACACCTTTAAAAAAATTAACGAAAACAAGCTTTTCAAAATTTCTTAAAGACCAATTTTTCAATAAATAATAAGACTTTTTAATAAAAAAAAGCCATAGATTGCTCTTGTTCATTATTTATTTTAAAAAGAAACCTTTAAAAAAGCAGACAAGATTTTCCGACCAACATTCCGGCCAACATTTTCCGATTTGCTGTTTTTCTTGACGTAAATCTGACCGAAAAAACCAAGTCGGATAATCCGGCTGATGGATTTTCTCTCTAGAAAGGAAGTAGAAAAGATTTGTAGAAACATATTGATTCGCTGGGTCTCAGAAAGTTCATTTGATAATATTATTTGAAATTCTTGTCTTTTTATCGTTTTATCGTTGTTGTTTTATCACTTTCTTGTAACTTCCTTGGCTCTTCCTTGGCTCTTCCTTCTAACTTCCTTCTAACTTCCTTGTAATTGTAACTTTGTAACACTTCCATGTAACTTTTTTAGCACTTTTACATTTTGTAACAGAGTTTATTCTAAAGATTTCAAACTTCACCAGTTTTCCAAGTATTCGTTTATCGAAAACAAAGCAACAAAGCAACGAGCCAATTTCCGGCCATTTTCGTGGAGTGGAAAGGCGTGTTATTGATAGAAAGAGAGAATTCGCCTCTTCTAATGAGATTCGCGCTCGTGGAAGGGAAAAAATGGCCACACTTCAGTCATTCAAATACACCGACACCTCTAATTATTCAGTTTTTATGAAAGTGATTTCTATTTTTTAAAGTATAATCATTTTTTAACTAAAATAACTTTTAGAATCCTCAGAAGGTTCAAAAAAAAAAACAAAAATGGTCCTACGCACTTGGATACACCCAAAATTCCAGAACTTTATACTCATTAAAGAACTATAGACCTCTTTTGAACCACTTTTCGTCCCTCTCTCCGCAAGCAGCGATGTCCGAGTGGTTAAGGAGTCAGACTTGAAATCTGATGGGCATTGCCCGCGTAGGTTCGAACCCTGCTCGCTGCGAAACTTTTTGTATTTTTCTGTAAAACGATTGGGAAAGTTTTCGCAAGAATTCTTTTAATTCTGATTGATTAAAATCATTGCAAAAACTCACATGTGCATTGGAATCCAGGTTGGAATCCTCAAATGTCCATTGGAACCCGGTTTGGAATCCAAAAATGGTCCAAAGCACTTGGATACACCCAAAATTCCAGAACTTAATACTCCCTAAAGAACTAAAGACCTCTTTTGAATCATTTTTCGTCCCCATCGCCCCCAAGCAGCGATGTCCGAGTGGTTAAGGAGTCAGACTTGAAATCTGATGGGCATTGCCCGCGTAGGTTCGAACCCTGCTCGCTGCGAAACTTTTTGTTTTTTTTCTGTAAAACGATTGGGAAAGTTTTCGCAAGAATTCTTTTAATTCTAATTGATTAAAATCATTACAAAAACTCAAATGTACATTGAAACCTGTAATTCCGCAAAGTTCGAATCCTGCTAGTGCAATTTTTGTAAAAATCCCTAGATTTCTTTTGTAAATCTAAAAAAACCACATAGTGTTTATTATTTTGAGTTTTATTTCAATATTTCAAGAGATTTCAAGATATTTGGCTGAATATTTGGCTATATTGCGCAAGTTAGCCTCAATTAGCGTTTCAATCTAACGATCTAACAGATATAATGTGTAAATCTAAAAAAACAACAAAGTTTTTATTATTTTGAGTTTTATTTCAATATTCCAAGATATTTCAAATATATTTTCTTCATCTTTTTCTGTTTCTTTGTGTTCTTGCTTGCTTGTTTCACCAAAGAATTCTCTCAAATTTTGACATCGATTAACTCCAGTAATGCTGCTACTAATATCAAAAAAACAGATATTTTCATGGTGAAACACGGATTTTACGGGCATGGAAAAGTCAGATTACCGTAGCCAATAATGTTACAGTAACCTCAGTTGCTTTCGAATCGTATTCGTAAAGCTTACTGTAATGGACCAAACCAACTTAATCAGGATTAAAAGAGTTCTTTGATTGATTACAATCATTACAAAGGCAACAAAGATTCTGGTCCAGCTTCTGGCTTTATCTAATCCGCCTTACTCAGCCAGATTTGGCCATAGAAGGCCAAAAAGGCCAAAAAGGCCAAAAAAAAGCCTAAAATGGCCAAAAATGGGCAGAAATGGCCTAAAATCTGGTCAAAAATGGCCAAAAAGCCATCAGAATTCTAACTTGGATCCGGTTTCTGGTTGATTGGTTTGGTTTGGTTTTGATGATTGGTTTTGATCGGTTTTTGATCTGGTTTTGAGTCGGTTTTTACAAATTCATTCAAACGATCTCTGTATGATTCATTTCTTTTCAACTTTACTAAAATAACTTTTAGAATCCCCCAAAATGCCGCTATCAAAACAATCCTCCAAGCAGAATTCCCTCCATTCAACCACATCGTCGAAACGTCGAATCTGCCGTGGTCCTACCTTTAAACATTCACATAAAACATACATGACATGTTTTGGACTATTGCATGTCAGGGTGAGTGATCGAGAAAAAAAACTAGAAAGTTAGAAAACTAGAAGCTAGAAAAATTTGAAAAAGAATCCCCAGAATGCCGTAATCAAAAAAATCCAAGCTCTTTTCATCCATTTTCCGCCTTCCTCCCCACAAGCAGCGATGTCCGAGTGGTTAAGGAGTCAGACTTGAAATCTGATGGGCATTGCCCGCGTAGGTTCGAACCCTGCTCGCTGCGAAACTTTTTGCTTTTCAAAAATGATTTTTACTTGAAAAACAAAAATGAAAAACTAGCTATTTTATTCCAAAATTGATTCAAAATTGCTTGAATTAATTTCGAATTATTTTCCTTTTCAAAATATTTGAAAACTAATTGAAGAAACGGCTTTGTTTACCTGAAAAAATCAATATCTTTTCTGCAGAAAGAGCGTCCCTTTCCACCGAGACCCCTTTTCCCCGTACCCCTTTTCATCCATTTTCCGCCGCCTCTCCACAAGCAGCGATGTCCGAGTGGTTAAGGAGTCAGACTTGAAATCTGATGGGCATTGCCCGCGTAGGTTCGAACCCTGCTCGCTGCGAAATTTTTTGTATTTTTCTGTAAAACGATTGGGAAAGTTTTCGCAAGAATTCTTTTAATTCTAATTGATTAAAATCATTACGAAAACTCACATGTGCATTGGAACCTGTAATTCGCCAAGTTGGAGCCAAGAAAAAGCCAAGTTCGAATCCTGCTAGTGCAATTTTTTGTAGAAATCCCTAGATTGCTTTTGTAAATCTAAAAAAACAACAAAGTGTTTATTATTTCGAGTTTTATTTCAATATTTCAAAAGATTTGAAGAGATTTCAAGATATTTAGCTGAATATTTGGATAAATTGCACAAGTTAGTCTCAATTAGCGTTTCAATCTAACGATCTAACAGATCTAACGTACAAGTATGTACAAAAACCAATCAGGTACAGTTTTCGGCTTTTTTCCATATATTTTATCTATAATTTGGTCCCTTTAACTAAAAAATGAATCAAATACTTAAAATTTCAGATAGCCACCTGTTTTATTGGTCTTTTTTCCCTGCTCGGTGTGTGCTTTTCGCTGATTTACTGTGTGATCTCATCGCAGAATGTGCAGGTGCTTAGAAATTGTTATTGAAAAGTGAAAAGTGATGAAGACTGGATGAAGGAATTGGATGGGATAATAATTCGATAAAATGAGTCAACGTTCAGCCTGGATCCGCCCGACCAAATTACAAGCTGGCTGCAATTCCGATGATCATCACCATCATCACCATACTCTTTCTCTTCATCGGCATTTTACAGCAAAAAGCGAAGCATTTATATCCATTTGTTGTGTTACAGGTGGGAAGTTTTGGTACTTTCCCGTTATGAGGGCCCATTTCTCATAACGCCTGGTACTTCTCTGGTCGCCCAGTCTCTGGGGCGAACTGATTCCTCGACTCAGAAGTGGAGGAACTCAAAAGTGGAGGAAGAAAGCACAGAGCTTTCTTCTATTGTAGCTGAAGCTGTAGCTTTCTTCTATATGCTGAAGCGATTGGTGCTATTTTAGAGTATTTCCAACATATTTCAAGTTAGTATTGTAGCCTTCCAAGTGTAATTAGCTTTGAGATAACGTGGTTAAAGTAGAGAAAGCTAGGACAGAGGGATTACTATCGTATCGAATAGGATTATCCAAAACGAGGACAGAGGGACAGAGGGATTACTATCGTATCGAATAGGATTATCCAATATCGATCCTCTCGAATAGGATTATCCAAAACGTGCTTAAATGTCAGGCACTTCCAGTCAAGCTATTTGACCGAGTTTATATTGCGACAAGAAGTTGAAGACAGTTTTATTTACGATTGGATTGTACAGTTATATGTACGATCTTAGCGCTTATTTCAAGTGCCCGCCTCAAATTTTTTAAGCCACCAGTAAATGCTTTGTAATTTATGTAGAAAGTTTTTTTAAAATACAAAAAATTGGCCCTCTTAACGGAAAAGTACCAAAGTTTTATGAGAAAGCTTTAATGAAATGCTTTTCAATCTTAGCTCGTAGCTTTGAGAGCTCGTAGCTTTGAGAATTAGCGATGAGTTCAGGCTCACACTCGAGAAAAGTTCTTAGTGACAAGTTAGTGAGTGAAAAGTGACAAGTTCTTATTCGAGAATTTTTGGTCAATGAAAATTTTAGTTTTATGTTTATTTTAACTCAAATTTTAACTATTTTATTCATTTTGGTTAACAAGTTTGTACAAACAAGGCTTAAACGTTGACAAAAGTCGTCAAAATACAAAAGATCATACATTCATTTTGTACAAAATCTTGGGTTGTCCAGTTATGAATGCCTTCTGCCTGGAATTTTACCCTGGATCTTCTGCTTTTCGGGCTCTAACCTAACTCGAATTGCTCTAACCACTGAGCTCTCTGGTAGCTTAATTTGCGGAGAGAAAAGGGGAAAGGAAGAAAGATGAAGAGAAAGGAAGAAAGATGAAGAGAAAGGAAGAAAGATGAAAGAAAAACGATCTCTCCCTTTGTGCAGTCAATTTGCCCAAAAGCTGAACAAATACAAAAACTTTTTATATCAAAATGTAGAGGAGATCTTCAGCTTTCGAAAAATACTCATATAAATCTTTTTCTTGATTTCGGTATCTTGAGAAATTTACAAAATCGTAACTGGACAACCCAATTCATAACTGGACAACCCAATACAAAAAAACCATCAATTATTGAAACTAGATTAACTGCACCAATGAAAATTCATGCCAAATGTCCTAAGAGCAAAAGATCTTTAGGTAATCATGAGCTTCGTTGTCTCTATAATGTTGGTGATGATGATGATTTGTGCGCTGTGTGAGACGAGATACGTTTTGAATGCTTTCATTGGAAAAGTCGATAATCCCGAAGAGTACAGTGAGTTTAAATGCTAATTGAAAGTGGCTGAAATGACGAAAAAGACAAAAGGAAGACTGATAAAGCATTTTAAGCTAAACACTTATAAAATGGATTTAAGTAAACCTCTCTTCAGCCTTTACAGTATATTGTAAAGTAAACCTCTCTTCAGCCTCTACAGTATATTATAAAGTAAACCTCTCTTCAGCCTTTACAGTATACTGTAAAGTAAACCTCTCTTCAGCCTTTCAGTATATTGTAAAGTAAACCTCTCTTCAGCCTTTCAGTATATTGTAAAGTAAACCTTTACTATTGTAAAATACCTTTACAATTACAATACTTTACAATTCAATAAACTTTACCTTTAGAGCTCTCGGTGACAATATTGATCTCGGTTCTCGGCTTTCAATTTCTTCTTCAATTATGGACAACGAGAGCTGTTTGCTGTTGTTATCGTTATTTCATCGATTTGGAGAGATTCGAGTTTCGGAAGGCTCAATTCATTTTGTGAGCAGATAAATGTGAGCAGATTGTGAGCAGATTTTAAATCAACACAAAGCAAACTGAAAATAACTTGTTCATATTATAATAAAAAGGAATTACAACTGGGTGTAGTAGCCAAATGACATGTGCTATATGTCATTCGTCGCAGATTTCAACGCCGATTTCGAATCTGTTTTCCGTTTCTGCTATGGAGCACTCTGTAAAAAGCTATAAGCTTGTAAAGTTTTGATGGGATTTTAAAACTCACTCCGAGTTTATTGTGCAGAGACTTTTAAAGCATTGATGGCCAGATTCCCCCGAGCCTTTAAAGGCAGTGGTATGGCAGTGGCAGTGTGTTAGAACACAAAGCAAAGCCCTATAAGCTTGTAAAGTTTTGCATGGGATTTCAAAATCACGACCGGAGTTTGTAAGTAGATTTCCCAGAGATCAGAGAAGAGGCAGTGGTGGCTGAGTGGCAGTGGGTTAGAATATAAAGCAAATTCTCTCTCTAGTTCCGATCCAACGTTCTACTTTTTCCTTTGCTTTTTGGATCTTTTGGAATCCTTTGGATTTGCAAAGTTAATTATTCTCCGTGTCAAATACAAGTTCAACAATTGATCTTTCTCTACCGCAACTCTGAAATATAAAGCTCAGGTAGCTTTAAAGTATCTATATATAAAGCAGAAGAGACGTCTGTCTGTCCGTCTGTGCCTGAAGAGACGTCTGTCTGTCCAGCCATTGGCAAAAAGGGCGGGGCTTAGATTGAGTGGAAAACGAGGACCTCCTCAGTGGAAAACGTGAACGTTAGTGAGCGACAAATACGATAGGACTACAATTGAGGTTACTGTAACATTCTTGGCTACGGTAGCATGCTTTAAAGCGTCTACCTCCAAGTCGTTGTTCTGACCCAAATGTATTAGGTTAGTGCATAAGTCTTTGCAAATTCTTTCAAATTTTTCTTTTCATAGAAAAGAATCCTTTATCTGCGTCTTTCATTACTAAAAAGATCTATCATTTCTCTACAAAATGGCTTTTGAGAGAAAGCTCAAAGCTAGCCTCAACTCAGCAAAAACGAATTTTTGTGTAAAATTTTTGTGCAATTTTCAATTGCTGCTTTAAAGAAAATCGCTGAACGAATTGTTTCCAAATTTTACAGACTTATGTAATCAAATGAGCTCTATCTTTTTTACTTTGGCACCAAAATAGGTTTGTATTGAAGAAAGTGTCCAAATTGCGACTTCAGCATCCGAAGAATTTTGGGTGCTCGCCCCTTCGAAAATCCACAAAAACAACGATTTCCAAGAGTTTTCCAAAAGCCATTTTGCAGAGAAACAATCAAGCTTTTTAGTAGTTTAAATAGAAATTTTGTTGGTGGTGAAGCATGCTTTAAAGCGCCTATCTTCAAGTCATTGTTCTGACCCAGATGTATTAGATTGGTGCAATAAGTCTTTACAATTTCTTTCAAATTTTTACTTCTAGAATCCTTTACTAAATTTATTGCGTCTTAAACTATTAAAAAGATCTATCATTTCTCGACAAAATGGCTTTTGAGAGAAAGCTCAAAGCTAGCCTCAACTCAGCAAAAACGAATTTTTATATAAAATTTTCAATTGCTGTTTTAAAGAAAATCGCTGAAGGGATTGTTTTCAAATTTTACAGACTTATGTAATCAAATGAGCTCTATCTTTTTTACTTTGGCACCAAAATAGGTTTGTATTGAAGAAAGTGTCCAAATTGCGACTTCGGTAACGGAGGAGTTTTGGGTCCTCGCCTTTGCCCCTTTGAAAATCCACAAAAACAACGATTTCCAAGAGTTTTCCAAAAGCCAGGCAGAGAAACAATCAAGCTTTTTAATAGTTTGCGTTGTTGGCGGCATTATTTTTAAAAGACGTATGTAAAACAAATTGTAAAGACCAACCAAGTCATCAGTTTTTCTTCTTTTTCAGCATTGCCAACCAGTTGTAAAGACTTATGCACCAACCAAGTAATCAGTTTTTCTTTTTCAGCATTGTCATCATTGTCAGCATTGTCAACCAGTTGTCAACCAGTTGTCTTTGTACTTTAAATGCTGTAAAAGTCGAAAACAGAATACCTTGAGTGCCAAAATTGAAAATCTCACTTTTATTGAACTTTTATCAAATTGCAAAAGGTTTAATTGCTTAAAAGATTTTTTAAGAGGTCATTTTTTTGGTTGAAATTTCATGATTCTCGATGGTGGAGTTGGATTCACGTATAGAGGAGCTGAAAGCTCATGAGATTATTATTATTATTGTTATTGTTATTGTTATATATCTAGATTCTTCTATAAGAGACACAAGGGTCATACTGTATGAAATAGTTATTTTAGATAGATATTAGATAGATATCTTCTAACAAAATTCGATTTCTTACAATCGGTGCCCGAATAGTGGAACTCGAATGGGTTTATGTCGTCCGGGTCATCGGTGAGAAGTCGAACCAACATCTAAAATATATCCTTTGAATCATTTATTACAAAAATTGATTAACCTGAGGAGTTGGTGATGAAATTTTCAGTGTCTCGTTGAAAGGTTTGTCATTCGTTGTCCTGAAAAAAGAAGATTGCCAGGCTTAGGGCTGAGGTATTGAGGAAAACTACCCTAACCAAACAAACAATTTTTGAGTGTATCAGTCTTATTTTGGTATCATTTCATGAAGAATCTTTAGACTCAGTTAATGTGACCAAAATCTTATTGAATCAATAAAAGTTGGCTAGTTGTTACGATAGTTTCCTCAAAATATGTGCTTTTATTAAGTACATGCATAAGAAAGCCTGACCTTTTGCTCTTAGGACATTTGGCATAAATTTTCATTGGTGCAGTTAATCTAGTTTCAATAATTGATGGTTTTTTTGTATTGGGTTGTCCAGTTACGATTTTGTAAATTTCTCAAGATACCGAGACATTTGCACATTTGGGTATTAGGTATTGGGTATTGGGTACCGACATTTGCAAAAGTTTTTGGCTTTTTTTTAGCTTCTACCATCTTTTAGTCTATTTGGTTTATATGAATATTAAAAAAAAAACACTGCACATTTTTCTATCATCATCTATCAGATACCGAAATCAAGAAAAACATATAAATGAGTATTATTCGAAAGCAGCTGAAGTCCTCTACATTTTGATATAAAAAGTTTTTGAATTTGTTCAGCTTTTGGGCAAATTGACTGCACCGAAGAAGAGGTGGCCAAAAAATGGAAGGGTGTCTTTGGATCAAGTTTTGGCTCCGCTCAAAGTGAGTTAACCGTTTGATGTTTGGCCAATAGATATATCAATACAACTTCTTTTTAAATATAACAATTTCAGAGCATCTTTACTTTTCTTTTCTTTTCTGGGCGGTTATTTTACACCATAAAACTTGAGGAATAGCTAAACTGAAAAGGGTTTTTTCGAAAACGACCTCTCCCTTTGTGCAGTCAATTTGCCCAAAGGCTGAACAAATTCCAAAGGTTTTTATATCAAAATGTAGAGGAGATCTTCAGCTTTCGAATGGTATATAACACTCATATAGATCTGTTCGATATCCTGAAAAATTTACAAAATAGTAAAAACGCGCATTCATAACTGGACAACCTAATACATGCATAAGAAATGCGGACTTCAACATTCGCATAAATTTCCAACGATAGAAACCTGATATCGATAAACCTGATATCGATGAATGTTATAAACTATTTGAAAGTTGTAAATCTCCTCTAAAAAATAGGCTAAAACGTGTTTCAATTTATTGAGCCATTGAAGAAATTTCGAGGGCAAAATGCGAGTGACCAAAAAAGGAATCCAGTCACTTTAGGGACCAAAAAAGGGCACTTTTGAAAACCCCACTTTCACAAGAGTTCGGTTTTGACTATTTAGTGGAAAATGAGCGCCCTAAAATCATTATCCTAAAAATACCATTCAAAATAATTAAGAGTTGGGATCATTTCATGGGAAAACTTTGTTTTTACAATAATTTTTCTTTTTTGTGAAAAAGCCGGCTTTTTGATAATTTTGAGGGTTTTGAAACTTATGCTCTATCTAAATTTCTGTAAATGCATTTCCGTTAGACTTTTTTAATGAATTGATATATATATTGGATTGGTGAATTGAAAACTGCGGGCTATTGTCATATGTGACAGTTTGAGCACTTTCTTCAAAAGAAACCCATTTTGGTGTCAATGGAAAAGTTGTAGAGAATCAAAAATCAAGCTTATATCCAAATTTTCAGAACGATTCAAAAACTGGCTTTCAAGAAATGCAAAATTTACGAATTTTCACAAAACTTGCAACAAAACCTGCATTTTAAGCGAAACTACTAAGTGTATCTTTTTGGAAATTTGGCTATAAGCCTAATTTTTAATTCTCTACAACTTTTCTATTGACACCAAAATGGGTTTCTTTTGAAGAAAGTGCTCAAACTGGGATCTCCAGTCTCCATCTCCAGTCCTCGATTTTTGAGTCTCACACTTGTCTCACACACAAACCAAAATCCTACTACGAAAGAGGAATCCGCAAATTGTCTGTAAAATGGGCAGAAGTCGTCAATAATAATGGAAATTATTTGGAATGAATTCATGGTTTTATGTTGAATAAATTTTAGTTCAAAGTCCCGCAGTTTTCAATTCGCCAACTCAATAGTTATTCTTTTTTTTTAAATCTTCAATTTTGGGAAGCTAACTCTATTTTGACCACACTAAACTTGTCCGTAAAGTGACTCGATTCCTTTTTTGGTCACTCGCATTTCGGCCTCGAAATTTATTCAATGGTTCGATGAATTGAAACACGTTTTAGCCTATTTTGCCTGGCCTATTTTGTAGAGGAGATTTAAAACTTTCAAATAGTTGATAACATTCATCGATACCAGGCTTCTATCGTTGGAAATTTATGCGAATGTTGAAATCCGCATTTCTTATGCATGTACCTAATAGATCAATTGAGGATCTGCTAAAACTCATTTTAAATTATTTTATAACTAAAAATTCTTTACCTTATTAGATTAGGCTAAAACTTATTTGATTTACAGAATCCATTATTCATTCTGCATTTATATCATTTGCTTGTTATTTTCTTGTGATTCTAATCACTTACGAGTTTAATTACTTACGAGTAAAGCGAATTTTGGTAGTCTCTGGTTGTCCCAGTGTAGATATCCAGATACCAATAGCCCTGGAAAAAAGATAACTCCATTTTCTCCTTCAATTTCTTTTACCGATGCTTTGATTGGTGGAAATTCGATGTTGACAAAATTGTTGAATGCGTTGATCTGCCATGAACAATCGACCTTGTGGAAAACTTGTGGATAGCCGGGTGATTGGATCTGAAAACGACTAGATCTGAAAGCAAACTTAACTGAAAGCACAACTGAAAGCAGAACTAAAAGCAAACTTAAAATTTGAGATCTGAAAATTCTTTTATGTCTTTTTATATATTTTTGTGCGGATTCAAGTTTTGATTTTCAATTTTATAAAGTGAATTTGTGTCTTCTCTAATCGTTCTAGGAATGTAAGCGTTCTCAGAAGCTAACCGTTCTAAGAAGCTAATCGTTCTAAGAATTTAATCGTTCTAAGAATCTAATCGTTCTAAGAAGCTAACCGTTCTAAGAATCTAATCGTTCTAAAAATCTAAACGTTCTAAAAATCTAGACGTTCTAAGAATCTAATCGTTCTAAGAATCTAACCGTTCTAAGAATCTACCCGTTCAAAGAATTTAATCGTTCTAAGAATCTAATCGTTCTAAGAATCTAATCGTTCTAAGAAGCTAACGGTTCTAAGAAGCTAACCGTTCTAAGAATCTAATCGTTCTAAGAATATAAGCCTTCTAAGAATCTAATCATTCTAAGAAGCTAATCGTTCTAAGAATCTAATCGTTCTAAAAATCTAAACGTTCTAAAAATCTAGACGTTCTAAGAATCTAATCGTTCTAAGAATCTAATCATTCTAAGAATCTAACCGTTCTAAGAATCTACCCGTTCAAAGAATCTAATCGTTCTAAGAAGCTAACGGTTCTAAGAAGCTAATCGTTCTAAGAATCTAACCGTTCTAAGAAGCTAACCGTTCTAAGAATCTAATCATTCTAAGAAGCTAACCGTTCCATTGTTGCCAAAATATGTGGGCGCTCCACAGGTGAACGGATTGACGGTGGTGGGTGGGACGCCGAGTGGTTTCTCGCAAATAAACGACATGATAGCGGAGCAAGACTGAAAGTGAATGGATAGAAATGCTCTACATTTACTACAATAAAACTATTTTTTTAAAGTGTCTAAAGTTTGTCTAAAGTAAACAAATTCACTCGCTCACCTGTGGAATCCATTGTCCTGGATAGTAGAAATCGACAACCGAGAAACCGAAGCAAATCGGGGGATTGTCTTGAGCGGCTAAAATTGCAAAAAATGCCGAGCCAAAGTCTATTCTGTTCTGTTCTGTTCAATTTAATATTTAGAATAACATTTCTAGCAACATATGACGATAAGATTGTGACAATCATTTAGGAAAGTTATGATGAACAGAGTGTCCCAAAATTCCCTGAACCAACCTCCGTTTACCCTTTACGTTTGCTGTTCTTTGCTTTTGAGTTGACTATCTTTGCTACTTTTTGACTATCTTTGTTACAAAGCTATCTTGGAAACAAAATTTGATGCTTTCAGCAGGATGGGGCGCTTGCCCACAAAGCCCGAATTGTCCAAGAATGGTTTGAACGAAGTTTTCTGCATTTCATCAGCTTTTCATCAGCTTTAAGCAGCAAAATCGGTCATTTCCAAGACAATTCGTCGATATAATGGTCTTGGAACAATTTCTGATCGATCGGACGACGTACTGGGTAGCCCAAATCGGTCATGGTCTTCGCCAGAATCACTTCTGATGGGAAGACTCCATTAATTTATGTTCAACAGAGCATCAAAGTAAACGCAAATAATTATCTGGATATTTTGAAGCAGGAAGTGCTGCCTTGGGCACAAAGACAGAAAATTTGGTGCTTTTAACAAATTGGCGCCTGCCCACAAAACCCGACTTGTCCAAGACTGGTATGCACGAAGCTTCCCGGATCTCATCAGCTTTAAGCAGTGGCCACCATCCGATTTAAATCCAATGGATTACTCAGTTTGGAGTGTTCTCGAAGCAAAGGCCTGCTAAAAAGCTCAAAAGTACATTCAAGCATTGATTCACTGAAGAAATCACTCCAGAAAGCTTGGGCTGAGCTCGATCCAGCGTATCTTTTGGCCGCCATCGACGGCTTCTCAAAACGTCTCACCGCAGCCGCTCTACCCTGTACTTTGTGGAGTACCCTGTACTTTGTGGAGTACCCTGTACTTATTGGAGAGTACCCTGTACTTATTGGAGAGTATCCTGTACTTATTGGAGAGTATCCTGTACTTATTGGAGAGTATCCTGTACTTATTGGAGAGTATCCTGTACTTATTGGAGAGTATCCTGTACTTATTGGAGAGTATCCTGTACTTCTTGGAGAGTATCCTGTACTTCTTGGAGAGTATCCTGTACTTCTTGGAGAGTATCCTGTACTTCTTGGAGAGTACCCTGTACTTCTTGGAGAGTACCCTGTACTTCTTGGAGAGTACCCTGTACTTCTTGGAGAGTACCCTGTACTTCTTGGAGAGTACCCTGTACTTCTTGGAGAGTACCCTGTACTTCTTGGAGAGTACCCTGTACTTATTGGAGAGTATCCTGTACTTATTGGAGAGTATCCTGTACTTATTGGAGAGTATCCTGTACTTATTGGAGAGTATCCTGTACTTATTGGAGAGTACCCTGTACTTCTTGGAGTACCCTGTACTTCTTGGAGTACCCTGTACTTCTTGGAGTACCCTGTACTTCTTGGAGTACCCTGTACTTCTAGCTAAGTTAGTTCAATAGCTAAAGTTTGTATTCAATCATCTCTAACTTCAATCTCCAACTCTTCGATCCTAACTCTTAAATCTGTTTCCTTAAATTCACAACTAACGAGCAAAATTCTTGAAGTCCACCGCAGTGTTGTCACTCCAATAGACACCAGTGCCCGGATTCTTCACTCCAATCCAAGCTGCCGTCCGGAGATACTGTTGTCTGGTGTATTGCAAGATAAAGTTGTCTGTCTGAAATTGTTCATTTTTTTTCATTTTGTTGTATGTAGATCTGGAAAGGGTTGCTACATTTTTTAAAAATCCCATTTCATTCAAACTCCTACCTCATTGTCATGAATTGAAACGAGATTTCCGCCGAGATCATTGCAGGTTGCCTCGGATTGAGCCCAGGTGAGCCCTTGATTTTGGAAAAGCTAGAATTGAAAATATTTCTCTGAATTTCATGTGTATGCAATTTTGCTAGGGCGCTGCTAGAGCGCAAAGTTGCGACACGCGTTTTCTGCGGCGGAATCGCGATTTTCTGGTTTTGTAACTAGTTTCAATGGCTAAAAATCAAAGAAAACCAGCTTCATTTACTCCTTTTTACTTATTATTTCTAAAATCTAGCTCATTTTTACTAGAAAACAATGAAATTCGATTGGGGATTAAAGTTCAGAATGTGGATTTGAACTGGGTGCGGGTAATTGTGCGCTACCCTGTAGAGCTTCTCCCTGTACAACCTGATTTATACCCTGTGGCAGCATTTACCTTGTAGCATTTGTTGCGAAACTGAACGAAATCACTTGGACAGTCACTGCTGGGTGTGGTTTGTTGTGAGAGTGCTGTAAAAGGTAATTAAAAGGTAACTGTAATATCATCCCTGTAAAAGGGATGATTTTTGTTTTAAAAACAATTAGATAAGTGAAATTTGGCCGGAAAGTTCTGTTACTTTTTGAAAATTAAAGAAAAGTCACAATTTTTCTTGAACAACTATCTTATTCATGTCTTTCTACTGAAATTAACGTCTTTTTGACGGGATTTTGTTGATTTCATTACTGTTTTTAACTTTGATTTTTCAGGATGACGGGCGATAAGGAACCTATCACCATCATCGAGTTGCACAAGCGTGGTTTCAAGAATCCAGACATTGTACGAGCGACTGGATGTAACAAAATGAAGGTCAAATGGACAGTGAATCGTTATCAACGCGCTGGGAGATGATTCGGATCGGCTCAGAAGTGGAAGGCGAAGTGGAAGACCGACCGCTATCACTCCAGAGAACATCAACAAGATCAGGTGCCGAACATCAACAAGATCAGGTGATTCGGATCGGCTCAGAAGTGGAAGACCACCGACCGCTATCACGCCAGAGAACATCAACAAGATCAGGTGCCGAATTCGTCAAAACCCAGAGATTTCGATGCGAAGCCTTGCCAAGTCGTTGAAAATCAGCAGAGAACGAGTGCGAACGATTGCTAGGAAGAGGCTTAACATGTTTAGTCACAAATTTGCTCGAGGAAATTTTTTGAATGATCACATGAAGGTTCAGCGTCTTGCCAAGGCAAAAAAGACGAAGCGACTGGTCGCCTATGGTCGCTGGAGAAACGTTTCGTTCACGAATGAGAGGATTGCACAGTCCAACGTGCTCACAATTGCTAAAATCATCGACAACTCCTCAAGAAGGGTCCACAGCATTTGGCTGCAACAAAAATTTTAGCGATAGTTCATTTTCCCGCTGCTGTGATGGTCTGGCGTCGAAACAGTGTCATGGGAAAGATCCCTTTGATCTTCATCGACAGGAACGTCAAAATCAACGCTTAAACTTATCAAGACAAGATCCTTCGGGCTGTGCTAAAGCCCTGAGACCAGAACGACCAGAAATTGACCATTTGTGCTACAACAGGACTGGGCGCCAGCATATGGAGCGTGAGTGACGATTGGACTTTGTCTGGGCTTTTGGGACAAGGGCATTTGGCTCTCAAATTTGCCAGGTTTAAACCCCATGAACGTTTCGGTTTGGTCGATCTTGGAGAACAAGATCTGAGGAATCTCAATCAAGTCAACAGATTATTTGAAAGCCATTTTGAAACGGGTCTGGATCAAATCTCTGTCGCTGAGTGCGTGACGATCAGCGTCAACTTTCTGCAAAGTCTCAAGAAATGCATCGAAGTTTCCGGTGGCCATTTTGAGTATTTGTTACGATTTCTTTTGTTATTTTCTCTTTTTCTATATCTGAATGTTATTTTTTGATTGTTTAAAGCTATAAGTTTTGTTATTTAAGTAGTATGCGAGGCCGCTAAAGCAAGTAAGAAAGTAACCGAAGTAACAGTAACAGAGCTTTCCAGAAGTACTCTTGATGTCTGGCAAATGTCTGGCAAATGTCTAAGTCATTTCTAACTTGTCTGGCAAATGTCTAAGTCATTTCTAACTTGTCTGGCAAATGTCTAAGTCATTTCTAACTTGTCTGGCAAATGTCTAAGTCATTTCTAACGCGTTTGGCAAATGTCTAAGTCATTTCTAACTCGTTGAAGTCAGACTGCATTTAAGTAAATAAATAAAAGTGTCATTGTCAAATCATCAAAGCTTTTATGTTAATTTCGAAATATGAGACTATTTTAGTATTAAAAAATGGGGATAGTCAAAACAGCGCCATAATAGAAAACGTTCAAAACAGCGCCATAATAGAAAACGTTCAAAACAGCGCCGTCAAATTTCTCACAATCCAAAAAACCGAGCTTATATCAAATAGTTCCTTGCGTTCTTGGTTCAAGTTTTATATCAAAAAATTCCTTGCGTTCTTAGCTACATGATGGGTGAAACAGTTTTTAAAAAAAGTTAATATTTCATAGATAAAAAGAGCATTCAAAACGTGTGATTTTATTAGTGTCGACGACTTTACGAAAGAAAAAAAAGTGATAAAATGAGAAGAAAACCCGGGAAAAAAGTTGATGGGAATTTGGATTCATTTCTTTTGATTGATTCGATTTGAATCTTATTGCTAATGCATTCTTTCTTACTATTAGTGCACCAATCTTGATCAAGATTACTTATCTCACTTGTTCCATGGTTCGTAGTGAATCAAAAGTGCAAACATACTCACTCTGGGGCATTTAATTCTTCATTTTTTGGGGTTACTGTGAGAAGAATCAAGATTTGATGCACTGGACAGACATGTTTTTAGTCTTTGAGACAGTAATACTAGAGCTTTTCAAGCAAATTATCGGGGGTTAGTCAAAATAGCGCCGTCAAATTTCTCACAATCCAAAAAACCAAGCCGGTTCAAGTTTTATATCAAAAAATTCCTTGCGTTCTTGGCTACATGATGGGTGAAACAGTTTTTTAAAAAAGCTAATATTTCATAGATAAAAAGAGCACTTAAAATGTGTGTCGAGTGATACTCAGTTGGTTAACTGAATATCTTTAGAGACCCATTTTGAGTGCTCTTTTTATCTATGAAATATTAACTTTTAAAAAACCTGTTTCACCCATCATGTAGCCAAGAACGCAGGATTTTTGATATAAAACTTGAACCGGCTTGGTTTTTGGAGCGTGAGAAATTTGACGGTGCTGTTTTGAACGTTTTCTATTATGGCGCTGTTTTGACTACCGCCCAATTCAAATTTAATAATTCAAAAATAAAAATTACCAATAGTGAAGAGAACAGCGGGAATGAATAGCCGTTGAAGCATTTCTGTGGTAAGTGTTAGAAGATGGTTAGAAGATGTTAGAGATGTTAGAGATGTTAGAGATGTTAGAGATTCTGTCGCTGAGATGCCAGACTATAAATACCAACTCGGCAATCATCAATCATGATAATTAAGTGATTATAGGCGACGCCCATTCGAAATTTTAGATTGCACAGCACACTTTTTGCAGTGTCTTCGACTAGAAATACTAAAAGCTATATTTTTTTTTGATCTGTGAACTCGAAACCACTCCCACCTGGTGCTGCCTATTCTCCCTTCTTTCGCTCTCCTTGATCTCGGAATCAAAGAACCAAAATGATTAAAAGATTAAGGGTGTGTGATGGAAATAGTTTGATCGATAAGAGTTTCTCTACGTTTCCCATTGTTGACAATGAGATGAAATTATCTCTTTCCCACTCTCTTTCAGTCAATGTTTGAAGCCATTTTTGAAGCTATTTTTTGAAGCCATTTTTTGAGTCAAGAAATTTTCAGTACTAACCATTCGATAGTTTTCAGTAATTCACATTAATCACCTCCAACCATCATCATCACCATCTTTCAATCAGACGCTTTAAGCTAGGATCAACCAAATCTGAAAACATCGTCTATACCATCACCTATATCTACCGTAAATACTGTAATAGTACCCCACTCCCATAATGACGGTGCGGAGTGTTGCGTAGTGTAGCTTTGAACGAGTTTTTCTCGACACTGATTTATGCTACAATGCGCGCAAAGGTATCAAAAAAATAGCCCTGAATTCCAGCTATTTTTTGATACCAAAACGAATCTTTTGAAAGCCCGGATGCTTTGAAAAAAATGAAATACTAAAAAATTTTTGTGACTACGCGACTGTACGAGGAGGGGGATGGGGTACTATTACAGTATTTACGGTAATTACCTAAAGGCTTTTCAAGAAACAAGAAATAACAAAATTTATAACATAACTTTAAAAACCACAATGAAAAGCTTTGAAGAAATGTGAGAAACAATAAACAATAGAAACAATACAAACAAATCAAACAACATTTGATAAATGCAATTTCCTTTCAATGAAATCACATGGTGCTGAGAAAGCTTCTTTGAGCAATCCAAGAACAACTTTTGGTGAAATCATCTACCTGAAATAATGATCATAAGAAAATAGAGAATAGAGAGAAAGTGGAGAAAGTATTAGTTGAAACAAAATTATACGAGAAACCATTTTAAAAAAGTAGTACGTAGTAAATGAATAAGCATTTAATTAGTGATAGTAAGCACTTTAGGAACTATAAAGTACTGCTAAGGTCATTTTGTGGCATCGCCTTGTTAGATGAACTCGATCAGCCCATGTTTCACAATTTATTGTGTGCAACCGTGTGCAATTTGAGACGGAGCAATGAAAATTCTATTGTTCTTGAAACGATTGCTCAGAATAGGCAAAAGCGAATCGAGGGTTGATCAAGAGATCAAGATCAAGCTTAACCTGGCCTAATTCTGGACTTGTTCCTGACCGTAGCCTGGCCGACAATTGCGACAATGAAGTGGAGGAAAACGAGTATAAAATACCGTATTCTCTCTAATAGTAGTGCACTCCGTCGAGCCGAGTTGGTGACTCTTTTACGGTTTCCAAGCTTTTGCAGAAGCTCAACACTCTAATCCCCCGCAAGATCTCATCGTCAGCTACATTTTCCGACCCCACATCGATAGGTTCTGATAAGCGGTTCTCGAGATTTCGAGGAATTTAGGCAAAGCTTCGGGAAAATACGGTAATTGTCCTTTTTTCTAGAATCGTTTTGATGAGGCAGTTGAGCGTATGTCTCCAGCTTCTTCGTTGGCTTCGAGCACCGAAGGGTTATCGAAGAAAAAGCGCTCGACAAGTTCTTCTGGCTTGAAAACCCTCTTGTAAAAACTGAGCTATAATTAAGTCTACCGAATTCTCTCTAATTCTCTAGTAGTGCACCGCAGCGAGCCGAGTTGGTGACTATTTTACAGTTCCCAAGCTTTTGCAGAAGCTCAACACTCTAATCCCCCGCAAGATCTCATCGTCAGCTACATTTTCCGACCCCACATCGATAGGTTCTGATAAGCGGTTCTCGAGATTTCGAGGAATTAAAGCGATGCTCAGGGTGCACTACTATTAGAGAAAATACGGTATATGATCCAGAAACGAAAGCTCACGGGAAGTTCGTGTCTTTCCCTAGTGAGAAATTTCTCCTAGTGCTTCTGTTTTTTCAAGTTGTCTCCAGAGAAACATCTTTTGTTAGCCACTTGTCTCAAATCTGTAATTGTTCAAATGAAGTCCATCATTTTCATCGAGTTTGAACTTTGAAAAAAAGCTTTTAATTGCAATGTTAACTCAGAAAAACTTTGAAAAAACTTAGAAAGAAACTTAGAAAGAAACTTTTTATGAAAGGAAAATTTTTCTCGACTTATTTTCTAGACTAGCAAATTGAGTTTTTGAAAAAAATTTGAAGCTCAAATGATTGCTGATAATTACTATCACGATTATCTGTCTAGAGCTGTGAAAAGCCCAAAACAAGCACTTGACTGCAATCTTGATTATTGTTTTTTCGATAAAGATATACCAGCTGCACCAAAAAATGCTTCGCCAAATTACAATATGCATTGGCGATTTTGTCTACTACGTTTCTGTCGACTTCGACTCTCTCAAACGGACTATTTTGTCGTTTTTGGATATGTTTTTGTAAGGCGTATTTGTTTAAGCACAATTTTATTGTTAGTTCGGCATTTATTTAGTTTGGCACATTGGATTTAATTGCGAATTTCATTGCCTTTCGACTGCTTCTTCGGAACTCGACAATCGAAAAGCGCATCAAAATGTTTCTTCTTTTCAATGTCACTTTGCGATTCTTGAAGGGTTTCGCCGAGTTTTACTTTGCCTCGTGCTTAATTGAGTCAGTTTTTCGAATTCATACTAAACCTGCTTGTTGGCATCAGTTATTTTCAAATAGGGAACAGTTTTCCAAAGAAATTTTCAACTAGGGAGCCAGTTTCCAAAGAAATTTTCAAATTTTCAATTTAAAAGCTCTTGCCATTTTTTTATCATATACAATATACAATTTTCTATTGTTCACTAGCTGGCAGCAAGTATTGTTGAAATCCGCATTTCTTATGCAGGTACAGTCCCTGGACAATGAAATATCATATTTGAAAAACGATCATCGCTTTCGCGCGTCGGTAACTCCCTTGTCTTTGAGTTTAAACTATTAGTGTTATGCATTTTCTGAAAGCTCTTTTCAAGGGCTACACAATTGTAATATTAATATCTAGAAATACGGTAAAGACAATGGAGTTATAGACGCGTGAAAGTGACGATCGTTTTTCAAATATGATACTACATGTCCAGTAGTGTACGCATAGGTTAACAACTTTAAAGCCACCAGAAACTCACGGGAATGACACGAGCTAGAAGTTGAGAATCGCTTCGTGACCGA